TGTCACTAAGCAGCTTTACCACGCCATATGTAAGCTCTCCTCCCGAAATCACTTTTCGAAACCGTTATCGTGACGTAAAATAAATACATTTATAGAAAGAACACCTTCCTAATTTTTTGCATACTTCTTAACAATGGGCCAAATGTTTTTTTAAAGAAATAAAAATTCAAAAAAATTTGGTCCCAAAGTCCAAAAAATACAAATGAAAGAAAATTTGATATGTCATATATCAAAAAAGCGTATTTTTCGAAATTTCAAAAAAACATATTAATCTCTGTTTCATTGCAAGTTCAATGTTATATTACATTTGGCATTTGAATTATCCGTCTTAGAGTTACAGCCCGCCAAACTTAGCGCTGCAAAGCAAGATCCAAAAAATGTTATACACCCTAACTCAAAAAATACTTATCTGATAACCCTGAAATTGTTACAGGTGGATTCAGAGCCCCTGATTACCCCTGAGACCAATTCTCGTCAAATTCCGAGAGATGAGGGTGTCAAATTGGAAAAAAAGTGGTACGATCTATCGTGGAATGACATTTTCACAGCGCGCACATTCGTGTACCTACAATACGTCGCATCGCCAGGAGCGGCTATACCCGCCACTCCCCTACCCGGTCTTCTTTGCAGGGCGATGCGATCGGAGATACTCCGATACTGACGAACCACCGCCGAGCCTGTTAGGATAAGGTCATTAGCTGGCCGGTTTAATTACGCCCTGCCGCGCGGCGCCGGGCGGGGAGCGCTCAGCTCCCGTGGCACGTCCATAGCCGGCGGGGCGTGTGGCAACGGGTGCTATCGGTCCATCGGCCCGACCGCGAACAATCGAGCGGGCTCATACAGCCATCAGCATCGGTCGAACATCGGCAAATCCGGAGAGGGGGACGCAGCGGTGACTCGGCGGCGGTGAGCGCTACGGCGTGCTGACCCCGCTGGACGGCTCTGAAAACGGGCTGCATCAGTGGTCGTTCAGCGTAGTTTGACGTGGCCCCTCGTATTAGACAGATATATCTTCATCCCCCGCAGTGTTTTAGTTGACTCTTCACCGCAGGTCAGATAGCTGCTGCAGGAGCTCCCAGACTGAAGTCTCTGGCGGTTCTACTTCTGACCCGGTGTGTGGTGGGTCCGGGAGGTGGCCCGTTTGGTGCAGTAGTGACCCCGCAGGTGTGCCGGTGTCGCTCCCCCCCCCCCCCCCGGCCCTCTGTATGGTGAGCGGCCGTCGGCCTGTAACACTCCCCCGCCACCGGCAGGGGCACTGCATCCAGATGACTGCCGGCCGCGCCACAATGTGCGGCCGACAGTGGCGCATCAAAGGCGAACACGCCGCGCCGGCCATTGTGATGGAGAGAGGCGGGCGGCGGTTGTAGAGTGACCGGCCGGGTCATGGCGCGGCCCACTGACGGTTTTTGTGACAGACGTCGCCCGGCTCATCTCGGTCAGAGGGTGACCCAGGCTGGGTGTAAAGAGACGGTGACCCAGGCCAGGGGACAGAGATAGGGAGAGCCAGGTCAGTAGAGAGAGAGAGAAAGAGAGAGAGAGAGAGAGAGGGAGAGAGAGAGAGAGAGAGCGCGAGAGCGAGAGCGAGAGAGAGAGAGAGAGAGAGAGAGAGAGAGAGAGAGAGAGCGCGAGAGCGAGAGCGAGAGAGAGAGAGAGAGAGAGAGAGAGAGAGAGAGAGAGAGAGAGAGAGAGAGAGGCATGAACACAGTTCAGAGGATCGAATTGAGAAAAATAAATACAGAAAAGTGGAATCATGCAATGAGCCGACTCTGAGTGAGATTACTCTACAGTGCCTACATGGAGAGGAGTCACAAGGGCGCACATATTTAGGTGCTAACTTCTCTCATGTTGTAATAATTGAATGAGGACTTAACTCCACAAGAAATCGTTCGGGTCGGAGCTTTCGAATTGTATTACAAAGCTTCGTCAGCGTATCGTAATCGGGTTCGGGGGTATCGGTCGCAAAATTGAGGGAGATTCCTCATTCAGTTATTACATTAGCAAACTCCACATCATGTCCTTTAGTGAATTCTCTCATGTTCATAGGCTATTCCTACTACTGCACCATTTACACTCTTCCTACACTATCAGATAGCACATATTCGTTATACCTATGTAAGTTGTTTTGAGATGAGGTTACCACTTGTCACCATGTTTGGACAAAGTTCCAGCCGCCTCAGCCGCAGCCGATGGCGGTGATCAGACTGTTCGGCCGTATTACATGTACAACAGCAGCCGGTGATCAGACTGTTTGCAGAACCCGCCACCATGGCTGCTCCGTCACTGTTCATCACCCGCTGCCCCGCACTCTGCTGCCCTGCTGCCCGTCACAACTGCCATATAAGGAGAGCGGGCTGTGGGGATAAGGGGCCGACACTGGACAACTCATGAGCAGTGTACTGTAAACTATCCACAGACGTGGTGATGCAGCTGCCTCGTCATTGCAGGGTCCTCCCAACCAGATGGAACTGCGAGGTCATGCGACGGCGCACTTACCATTGAGCGGTCGGCTAGACTGCAGGATCGCAGTAACAGATTATTCGTCTATATTTTACAAGGGCTGTGATCAGTGAATGCGCTGTGACATGGTCCCACATTTAATGACACGGGTTGTGAGGTCCTGTAACACGATACCTACCGAGACCAGACCAGAGGTCGCAGAGTAGATGCTTGCCTACTTATGAAACATTCGATAGATGCTAAAACCAGCACGACAAATCAAAAGCGGGCCATATCAATGAAGAAAACGAGCCACAAACGCTTCCATAGGCGGCGGAACGGGGAGGGCACCGGGTCACCGTGCCCCCCTTTGATTTGGGCATTTTAACATTAGCCCTATGGGCGTTGCATGGCAAAAATGGGACCAAAAGTCGGCATGGTGCCCCCCCCCCCACCTTAATTGAAGGTGTTCCGCCGCTACTGAGTTACGCTTTCCCGTAACCCGCAGCCTTTATTATGTCTCTCAGGTTCTCTAGTGGTGGACTGGCTACATTCTTAGTAAACGGACAGAAGCAGCGATTCTCTCGCCATCTACCTGAAACAGCCGTTGGTCTTGAACAGATCACCACGCTGTAGATGTCGCCACCTGCTGAACGGAGGACGGCTCCGTTACCAGTCAGCAAAGCAACTGGTTTGAGTGGACATATGGCACGCGATATGGCAAGGAAAAAAATAATCGCCCGTTCCGTCGTAACTATCTGTCCTCAGGATACTGAAATCCTTCTCCTCCACGCCGCACTGTTCCGGGCTGGACAGGCACCTTTATCTCATGCGGGCTGCTCCCTTGGAGCGGCACCGCTGCTCCCGAGGGAGCGCATCCCGTAGCCGGGTGTTGAGAGTGCTTGGGGGCTGGGTGGCCTGTCCATTCGGACGGGCTAAGCCCCAGTGACTCACTGGGGTGCCTGCCAAGACCAATGTCCCCGCCTAACTCCTATCATCCTATACATAGGTATGTAGTCGGAACGCTCGAGTCATGTTAACGCTTCTCTTCCAGAAAGTCTTCTTCCCGATTCCTCGGGACAGATAAGTGCGGGCAGAAAGCTGAAAACTCGCGGAAGACGACCGCTGCGGGTTTGTGTTAGTCAAGATGACTCGGCTCGAGCGTAGGCAAATAAACTGCTGCTAAAGTGTAATAAATAACGCATAATATAGTATTACCATTACGTGTTAAATTATCATTATTATAATATAGTGTTGTAGATTACACTATGCTTCTATACGAAAAAAATGCAACTTCACATTGCAACAGAGTGCCCGAAATATTACAAAGAGAGAAAATACAATGCATGAATATTGGTAATTCAACGTATTACGTGTTACCTGCGCACAAGGTCTGACATTTTGGCTTTACATTATGAGCCTTGCATGTTTTAAAATATGACGTTACTAAGGTCTCAGGTCAGTTTATGTTATTGGAGTTTTTCGTCAATAACTGCCGACCAAATTGAGCCAGCGACCCGGCAAAGGCAATAATGATGTCGAAAAAGCTATCGAATTGAAAGATAATCATAAACTCTCTCTCTCTCTCTCTCTGGACCAACTTCCCGACCTGACCAGCCTTGACCTGACCTTGATGTGAGGTCAACAGCCGAGTTGACCTTTCACAGGCATTGATCCGCGCCCCACTGATAGGCTATTCAGCCATAGGTGCCCCGCTTGCGGCATTTCTTGCTGATCTTCCATGGTGAAAAATGACAAGCATCGGCAAACAAGCTTCCATTAGATCAGTCATTACGAAGATTTCATCGACATGCATTAATGCGTGAAAAATTTCATTGCCTTTAGGGTCAACGTTAGGTCATGAACCCATAGTATAAACTTCGCTAGGTTAGAGTCTGTTTCCGTCGGACCCGAGTTTACCATTCTCATAGTTTCATTCCGCTGTGTGTCGTGGAGCAGGGGCATTGGTTATCGACGTATAAATTAAAAAAGACAGATTTTCAGCAACTTTAGTTACACATGCAACACCATAGTCAAATATTGATCGAATGAAAAAGTATGTGCTCATCTGAAACATATTGACGAAGGCAATCAACTGGTTTGTTGCGAATCGCTTGGACATTTTATTTGAAGCGACGTAAGTACCATGCGCGGTTGAACCGAAATCACGATAGTTTTATTGCGCAGAAAAGCTGTTCGTTTCGAGGAAGCCAACTTATACCCACTCAGATAGATAACAAGGACGGACCACAAGACTTAATTAACTCGGGCCCCGCTGGGCTATTCAGCTATACGCGCCCTGCTGGGGGGGGGGGCAGATTCTGCCCCCCCCCCCCCGTCTAACTTCCGAACCGATGGTCGTAGAAAGACGGGGAAAACGGCAATCGAAAGCTCTCAACAAGGCGGATCTTAAGAGCCCAAATTGTTCTGCTGAAGTAGGTCAGAGGTCAGGTCAAGGTCAGGTCAAGGGTACAAAATGCAAGTTTCTACAGTATCGGCCTTGCACCGTAGTTGCCGAAGAATGGACTGAGACTGATTGCCCAAAAAAGGGTATGTGCGACGCATGTTTAATGGGTCATTTTATTCATGTAATTCAATAGGCAGACTCAATAAGTGATATGGACCACATCTGGATGAATTTCAGGTCGAGGTCAGGTTAAGGTCAGGTCAAGTGAGGTCAAATTTTCCAAGTTGCTTGTTAAGGCCTAAAAAGGTGTCTATCTGATGCAGCTTTTCACGGCGAATCGAAAGGAGCTATTTTTGTTTCCGTACGAGGTCTAGAACCTCCAAAAAGTTCATTTTTCAAAAAAAAATTGTGTGTCGTGACGTCATAACATTTTGAATAACTCCCACATTTTTGAACCGATTCTTCTAATAATTGGTATGGAGGTGCAAATAGACCACTTCTCTGACAAATATTCCGTTTTTTCGATACACTCAAAATTTTGAATTTTATAATTATTTTCCCAAGTCAGTTTTTTTAAGAAAAAAATGATCCAAAACCAAAAATTTCAAAACCCCGAGATAACCATTTGATAGACAAAGTAGAATCACGTATAACCTTTTTTGTTACGTCTTGATTCCTTTAAAAATGAAGATGTTAGCGGCGTTTGAAATTTTGCCGTCAATGTTCTTTAGTTAGAACCAATGCAACATATCACCAGACGATAACATGCTGGTTAAAGGCTGATAATGAAGCGATGGAATTTCGCAAGATAAATTCCAGCTTCTACTTGAACGCCCTTTTCACTTTTCTTTGTTTTCTTGCTTTTCCCTGTTCCATTTTCTTGCTTTCATACCAGTCGGAGATCAGTCTGACGAGCCACTCTAGTAGCAAGGCGATTCCGGAGCAGAGGATACCGAAGCCGACGATGGCCATGACGTTTCTCAGGTTGGAGAGGCCGAGGGCGCTCATCTGCAGCGGCGCCACGCCGCCAGCCTGGCAGAGCATGCTGGACGCCCGGAAGGAGGTCCAGCGGCGCAGCTCGCGGTCGATGATACCCTGGTTCACCAGCCGCGGCAGCAGGTAGTTGATGAGCTTCAGGTACGGGAAGTGGGGTCGGAATATCAACGCCATCGGCACGCGGGTCACGGAGCCCGGCCACAGACAAACCGGGCACACCTCGTCTCGGCCGAGGTTGGTGCAGTTGTTGTTGAACTGTGAGAAGACTGCCGCCCCGAGCTGGATGTTGCGTCCTTCCAGAGGTCCTGCCGATACCATCGGGAGTCGGTCGATGTCGCGACCCATGAGCGGTTTCACGATGGCCTCCCGGACAGCCATGGACATGCCGGACTCCGTAAACTGCCAGCCCTGCTCGAGCGCCTCCTGGAGGCTATCGAACGGCATCACGCGCCGCGCCATCGTCATCTCTGCCAGCAGGTTTCCCGAGTAGCAGGCCACGATGAAGAGCGACGCCCAGTAGAGGGCCGCGATGGCCACCCGGTAGGAGTTGGCCGTGTCGGAGCGCACCGCGGCGCCCTGCTGACAGCTGACGCCCAGCACAATCAGCGCCCAGAACGACGGCTCCGCCGCGTCCGAAGGCTCGCCCGACGCGCTGCGAATGCGCTGCTGGCAGCGGGCGATGAGGCAGAGGACGAGCACGGCCAGCAGCTGGGTGACGAGCAGCGCCGTCCACACGGGCGTCTCCAGCGGCTGGGTGACCTGGAACTCGGTCAGGGTGAGCGTGTACCGGCTGTCGATCGCGGCACCCGCAACATCGCTCATCAGCGGAAAGGAATAGTCGACCAGTCGGAGGCGAGAGGAGGTGATTAGCATCCGCCCTGCGAGCATGTCACCCTGGCCTTGGTGAAGCATTTCGACAGCCTGGTCCCACACGCTCATGTTACCCCATTCTTTAATTTCGTGTAGCGAGTAGCTGAAACCCAGCACCTCTTGCAGGTTGAGAATGACAGAGCCTGTAAAGCCGCCGGTGATATTGCCGTCCCGGTGAATTGACTGTATATTCTGCGAGCCATATTTGATCCCGATATCAGTGTAGAGTATCTTCAGAGGAACGCCGTCCATGGCCCGGCGGCTGAGGTCCAGCCCCGCTCGCGGCCGCCGCTGCCTGTACTGCCCCCCTCGGCACACTCCACGCACACGCCGGTTACGGTGGAAGTCGCTGGCTTTGTAGAAGCGTGTGGTGCCGTTGCGGACGGTCATGTAGGTGTGGCGCTGTGCGTAGCCGTCGAGGAACTGGCTGCGCCGCCGTCCGGAGAGCGACACCAGCAGCCAGCGGCGCCGGCTGTCGGCCAGCACGCTGGCGAAGGCGGTGCGGGTGGAGTCCGAGTCCGAGTCGGGCACGAGCCAGACCACCTGATCGGTGGTGTCGGCGGCGCCGGCGGCCTCCAGAGCGGGCGCCGGACCGCCGCGGCGCAGCCGGGCGAACAGTCGCCAGCCCGAGAGGAGCCGCAGCAGGTCAGACAGCTGGCCGCCTGCCCAACAGGGACACTCAGTCAGCTCAGTTCAGTATTGAAAGCTCGATAATGAATCGTGTTTTATACCAATGAACAGGCGTGTGGCACAAAATCCATAAACAGTGAGACCCGCGGCCGGTTGAGAAAGGCAACATTGTGACAAATAAACTACCAGTATAACGCTCTTCTGAATGCTTGAGACGAGGTGTTAGTATCACTGATGTTAGTTGTCGGACTTTCGTCCCCGTCTTGAGTTGAGATGTTAGTTTCACAACGTTTCGGCCAGTTACTTCTCCGGCCGTCGTCAGGTGTTCTTTGGCCCTTAGAAGGACCTGGATGTTGGTGGCGTTGCGCCATACGCGTCATACCGTTCGAAAGCTCCTGTAGTCAGCGGGAATCGAACTCGGGTTTCCCCGGTGATAGTCCACGGTTCTAACCACTCCACTATCGAGGCAGACATCGTTATGGAGCTGGAAACTTGGTGTCATTTATCCCCCAGATGTTTTTGTGATTTCCTTAGTAGTGGGAGCCATATTGGGCTGATGTCAACGCTTGGCTTGCTGATGGGGTTGCTAGCCAGCGCCATGTGTGCGGCTTCCTTGATTTTTCTGATCTTCCAGTGTGGCTCCTTGTCGATGATGGTGGTATCATCCCAAGCAGGTCTGTGATCTCCTTCAGACCATGCATGCTCCGCCACACCGGATTTCAGTGTTTCGCCTCGGATGGTGGCCTTCCTGTGTTCTTCGAGCCTGACCGCCAGTGGGCGGCCAGTCTCGCCCTTGTATTGTCGTTCTTTCGGGCAGTGTATCGTCGCTCTCCAGTCTTGTCCTCACTATGCTCAGAGCTTCGGTAGTGGGCACATTGGTGAACAGACTCACCACATCGAAGCTTACCATTTGCATGTTCGGCGAAGGTCGCATGGCCTGAACCAGTGAGACGAAGTGGGCTGAGTTCTTGACATATGTAGGTGTTTTGCCACTCAGTGGGTTGATGATCTTGACGAGGAACTGGCTCAGAGGATGGCAGGCTGAGCCACGGCAGCTTACTATTGGTCTTAGCGGTACATTGGTCTTGTGTACCTTTGGCAGCCCGTACATGTGTGGAAGTTTGCTGTGATGTTGGCTCAGCTTTCTGTACTGGGCGTCCGTGAGTTGTTCCTTGTCCTTGTTCTTCTTAAGGAGCTTTGTTAGTTTGCGTTCACAGGCCGGGGTTGGGTCTTTCTTCAGTTTGGTGTACGATCCGTCTGTCACAATGCTGTTCATCTTGTGGTCGTATTCCTTCTTGTCCATGACAACGGTGGTGTTTCCTTTGTCTGCTGGAAGTATGATGATGCTGCCGTCTTGTTTGAGGTAAAACAAAGAACTGCATATACGACATCCCGTGCAGCTGCGGCAGGTCATACAAGGGCGAGACTGGCCGCCCACTGGCGGTCAGGCTCGAAGAACACAGGAAGGCCACCATCCGAGGCGAAACACTGAAATCCGGTGTGGCGGAGCATGCATGGTCTGAAGGAGATCACAGACCTGCTTGGGATGATACCACCATCATCGACAAGGAGCCACACTGGAAGATCAGAAAAATCAAGGAAGCCGCACACATGGCGCTGGCTAGCAACCCCATCAGCAAGCCAAGCGTTGACATCAGCCCAATATGGCTCCCACTACTAAGGAAATCACAAAAACATCTGGGGGATAAATGACACCAAGTTTCCAGCTCCATAACGATGTCTGCCTCGATAGTGGAGTGGTTAGAACCGTGGACTATCACCGGGGAAACCCGAGTTCGATTCCCGCTGACTACAGGAGCTTTCGAACGGTATGACGCGTATGGCGCAACGCCACCAACATCCAGGTCCTTCTAAGGGCCAAAGAACACCTGACGACGGCCGGAGAAGTAACTGGCCGAAACGTTGTGAAACTAACATCTCAACTCAAGACGGGGACGAAAGTCCGACAACTAACATCAGTGATACCAGTATAACGCCTTTTGGGGCGACTAACGGAGCGAGCGAGAGGGTGGGCCCTGCACGTGCGAAATTGCGAGGGGGTACCTCCAACTGACTTGTGCACGGCACCCTACTAACTGGTCTCTAGTGATGTGCCAAATTTGGGCACAATCGGCCCAGCCGTTCTCGAGATCTGGAAGCGGCACCCTGCACGTGCGCACGTGCAAAATGGGTCCCAACTGACTTGTGCACGGCACCTTACTAACCGGTCCCTATCCGTGTACCAAATTTGAGCGCAATCGGTCCAGCCGTTCCCGAGATCTGGAAACGACCCCTGCACGTGCGCACGTGCAGCAGCACCCCAACTCTGGCACATGGATATGCAGTGCCTAGTGGGTGCCTACCTACATGCCAACTTTCAGCGCAATCGGCCAAGTAGTTACCGAGATATTGCAACAATTACAAAACTGACACCTCTTCGTTTTGCACGTGGCACCAGGGCCTCCTCTAACATACCCACTGGGTGGGCAAATGCCCACCCAGTCACCGCAATTGCCCACCCAGTGGCGTCGATTTGCCCACCCAGAAGCAAATGCAAAAATTCTGGTCCGGCCGGACGTCCGGTACTACCTTTCTGGTCTTAAGCAAACTGGATGCTGTTTGAAGGTCAAAAAAAGTTTTCTGGTTGCCCGATATTCAGGGGCGTAGTCAGAATTTCCTCAAGGAGGGGGCTAAACGCACAGGGGCCCAAAATAACCCCCTCAAAATCCAAAAAGCCATCTGGTTGGATCCAATAATTTTTGGAGGGGGCCCAAATAAATAGAAAAATATCTATAAACAAAAAATATTAGAACTGAGGGGGTAAGCAGTCCATGGGCCCTGTTAGATAGGCCCACGAATAGCTTCCTAGAGTCGCCAGTCGGTTTTGAGGGCGGTCTGAGGGCCCGTAGGTCGGATGAGGGTTCTTCAGACCGTCACAGGCCCCTACAGCGCATGAGAGCCTCGTAAGCCGTCTGAGGGTCATATAAGCCGCCTAAGGGCCACTAAGACCGACAAAAGCCCTCCTTGCACTTGCAGAGGCCCAGTCATGCCGACGGAGGGCTCTCTCAGACAAACTAAGGACCCGTTCAGGGCATTTGAGGGCTTCCTCAAACCGATAGGGGTCCCTCAGATCGACAGTGGATCCGATCCGAGCTCCCTCAAACCGATATAGGGTCAGATCAACAGTCGGAACGCATTGATTCTGTTTACACACCGTTGGACTCAAGTTGGACCCATCCCATCCAACTGACCCCCTGGTTTCAATAGGGCCCCAAGGCTCTAAAATTGGGGCTCTCTTGGCCAAGGTATAACTACTCAGCTGTGTCAAAGGATCTGCCGCAGGGGCCTTTGCGTCGCCAAGGGCCCACTGTGTCAGCCAGGGCCCCTATAGAATAAGGACCCCTGGCTTCCAGGGGGGGGAGGGCATGGTCCCTTTGGCCCCCTCCTTGGCTATGCCACTGCAGGTGACAAGCGTTCTACCAGGCGACCAGGGGGCAGGGGCCAGGCGACCAGGCCCCCAGGCGACCAGGGGCCCCAAGGCGACTAGCCCCCAAGCGACCGGGGCCCTCTGGGCGACCAGGGGCCCCAGAAAACCGGGGGTCATCGGATGAGTGCAGGGGCCCATTGGGCCATCAGAGGGCCACATAAATGAAACTTCGATATCAATTTTCTTCCGAGTAAAAGACGTTTTATCCAGTGTTTGAAAAAAAAATATCCCGGGGCCTGGGGGGCTCCCCCATGGCGCGTTTTGCGCTCAAGGGAGGGGGCCATTGCCCCGTGGCCCCTCCCCCTTGGCTACGCCCCTGCCGATATTGTAATTCATGGACAAAGCCAGCTAAATCTCTAAATACGGCTGAGCTAAACAAATAAGCAAGAATCATTACCGGTTCGGGTAGCCTTTACTACAATGTATTATGTTAGTTAGCCCTCGCCCGGTGAGGGGGGTTGATGCACCCCCCCTAAGGTTTTTCCACAAATAACGTAAAAACGGCGGCGCTCAAATTTGGCATACCCTCTGGGGCAACCTTTTGGCACTTGTCCTGAAAATTTCAGATCTCTAGTCTTTTCAGGTCAGGTCACCAGGTCACAAACCCCGTACAAGGTCAGGGGAAATTGGACTAGTTTAGCGGCAACCGAATGCCAGAGTTTTTCGTTGATAGCGTGAGTTCTATAGCTCGTAGCGCTACCAAATTTAACCCTCGCCCGCACATGCCATTTTCCCATCCTAGAACGCACATGGGGTTGAAATTGGTTGAACCCCAAAACAGTTGCTACCCCCCGCGCCATTTCGTTCCTGTTGGAGATAGAGCTTAGCGGTAAAGACCAAAAAGATTTTTTGGGAAGAGACGAATCCAATGATACCCAGTTTTACCATCTCAGGTCAGTCATTGACCTTCCAGGTCAGGTCAAACTAAAAAATGTTGCTGTTTTTGGTCACCGTTGAATATCAAGTGCGCTGCTCATCATATACCGATGACGATGCCGTTTTCTGGTGCCAAGCCAGCTAGAACCTCTTTGTCACACTACCCGACCAGGTTTTTGCTGCTGAGGTCATTTCAGGTCAAGTTAGGTCAAGGTCAATTATATATGTTTGTATGTCTGTGTGTGTCTGTGTGTATACTGATGTGTGCACCGATTGGTTATGTGTCCATATTACATGAAATCATGACCTGAGAAGCTTTTACCAAAAATGCAGTCAAAAAAACTTCACAAAAAGTAAATTCCGCTTGCCTAAAACGCAATTATCTTAGATGACCTAGGTTGACCTTGACCTTGACCTTGACATCTGTACATCGTCGAACAACATGTTCCATGATAGGTGGGAGGTAAGACTGGCAAAAAAGGCCGAAATCAAGGTGTCAAAAGCTCACAAGGCCCATAGCCAACGCAAGATGTTGAGAATTGGCCATTTGGGTCATGACATGACCTGAAAAACAAGGTCATATCTCCGAAACCAAAAATCACAGAAACTTGAAATTTTCAGTGGACGTCAAGAAAGGATAGAGGAGCAGCTATACGAAAAATCAGCCTT